GAAGACCAGTCAAATAGCAACAGAAATGAGGAGATACAATTTGGTAGTACAGGGAATCAGCGAAACCCATTGGACTCAAGCTGGACAGCAAAAGCTAGATACAGGAGAGATGCTGCTATATTCCGGTCACGAAGAGGAAGATGATCCACACACTCAGGAGTCGCTCTAATGCAGTTTGAGGAAGCACGAAATGCACTTGTAGGATGGGAATCTCACAGATCCAGAATCATCATAGCATCATTCAAAACAAAGAAGGAGGGGATCTTAATGAATATTATCCAATGTTATGCACCCACCAATGATAGCAACGACGACATTAAAGATCAGTTCTACGAGCGGCTTACATCAATCATTGAGAAATGCCCAAGAAAGGACCTAACTATTCTGATGGGAGATCTAAATGCCAAAGTCGGAATAGACAACACCGGATATGAAGATATCATGGGACGACATGGACTGGGAGAGAGAAACGAAAATGGAGAAAGATTTGCAAATCTATGTGCATTCAACAAATTGGTCATAGGAGGCACAATATTTCCACACAAGCGTATACACAAGGCTACATGGATCTCACCGGACCACACTACAGAGAACCAAATAGATCATATTTGCATCAACAAAAAATTCCGAAGGACAATGGAAGATGTGAGAACCAGGAGAGGTGCTGACGTAGCTTCAGATCACCACCTAGTTGTAGCCAATTTAAAACTGAAGCTAAAAAAGAACTGGACAAGTGGACAATCAGCACTACAAAGGTTCAATACAGCCTTCCTTCGAGATACTGACAAACTCAATGAATTCAAGATAGCTCTCAACAACAGGTTCCAAGCCTTACAAGATCTACTGAAAGAAGAAGAAACTAGTATGGAGGACAACTGGAAAGGCATCAAGGAAGCATTAACTTCAACGTGTCAAGAGGTTCTGGGCCTAAAGAAACACCATCATAAGGAATGGATCTCTATAGAAACACTGGACAAGATCAAAGAAAAGAAGAACAATAAGGCAGCAATTAACAACAGCCGAACACGAGCAGAGAAAGTCCAAGCACAAGCTGAATACATAGAAGCAAACAAACAAGTGAAGAGGAGCATTAGAGCCGACAAGAAGAAATACGTGGAAGAACTAGCAACGACGGCAGAAAAAGCTGCTAGAGAAGGAAATATGAAACAGCTTTACGATACAACGAAGAAACTAGCAGGGAAATACAGTAAACCAGAGAGGCCGGTCAAAGACAAAGAAGGCAAGCCAATCACCGAAATTCAACAATAGCGTAACAGATGGGTGGAATACTTCGAGGAACTCCTGAATAGGCCGGCTCCAATGAATCCACCGGACATCGAAGCAGCACACATAGATCTTCCTATAGATGTCAACCCACCAACGACGGAAGAAATTAGAATGGCCGTCAGACAAATCAAGAACGGGAAAGCAGCAGGACCCGACAACATACCAGCTGAAGCACTGAAATCAGACATCGAAGCAACCACAAGCATGCTTACCTTCTATTCAAAAAGATTTGGGAGGAGGAACAAGTGCCATGGACTGGAAAGAAGGACACCTCGTCAAGATTCCAAAGAAAGGAGATCTGAGCAAATGTGAAAACTACAGAGGCATTACACTACTGTCAATACCAGGGAAAGTCTTCAACAGAGTGTTGCTGAACCGGATAAAGAATGCAGTAGACGCCCAACTTCGAGATCAACAAGCTGGATTCCGTAAGGATCGGTCGTGCACAGACCAAATTGCAACACTACGGATCATCGTCGAACAATCAGTTGAGTGGAACTCATCACTATACATCAACTTCATTGATTATGAAAAGGCATTCGACAGTGTAGATAGGAGGACATTATGGAAACTTCTTCGACACTACGGAGTTCCTGAGAAGATTGTCAACATTATCCGGAACTCATACGACGGACTACAGTGCAAAGTAGTGCATGGAGGACAGCTGACAGATGCATTCCAAGTAAGGACTGGAGTCAGACAAGGCTGTTTACTCTCTCCCTTCCTCTTTCTTCTGGTGGTCGACTGGATTATGAAGACCTCGACATCTGAAGTAAAACACGGAATACAATGGACAGCTCAGAATCAATTAGACGATTTGGACTTCGCAGACGACCTAGCCCTCCTATCACGTACACACGAACAGATGCAGATGAAGACAGCCAATGCAGCAGCAGTCTCTGCATCAGTAGGCCTCAATATACACAAAGGGAAAACCAAGGTCCTCAAATTCAAAGCGGAGAACAGCAATCCAGTCACTCTTGATGGCGAAACTCTGGAAGATGTAGAATCCTTCACATACCTAGGAAGCATCATCGATGAATAAGGAGGTTCAGATGCAGACGTAAATGCGAGGATCGGCAAAGCAATGGTCGCATTCCTGCAATTGAAGAACATATGGAACTCAAAACAACTCTCAACCAATATCAAAGTGAGAATCTTTACTACCAACATCAAGGCAGTTCTACTGTGCGGAGCTGAAACTTGGAGGACTACAACAACCATCATCAAGAAGGTACAAGTATTTATACATAGCTGTCTACGCAAGATACTCAACATCCACTGGCCGGATACCATCAGCAATAGCCTTCTGTGGGAGAGAACAAACCAGCTTCCAGCTGAAGAGGAAATTAGGAAAAGACGATGAAAATTGATTGGACATACATTATGCAAATCATCAAACTGCATCGCAAGGCAAGCCCCAACTTTGAATCGTGAAGGGAAGCGGAAAAGAGGTAGGACAAGGAACACATTGCGTCGGATAATAGAAGCAGATATGAAAAGGATGAATTACAACTGGACGGAGCTAGAAAGGATTGCCCAGGACAGGGTTGGATGGACAATGCTGGTGAGTGGCCTATGCTCCTTCACGAGGAGTAACAGGCGTAAGTAAAGTAGTAAAATTAACCTCGCTAACTGAATCACTGAGCGAGAAGACAAGACTGAAATTGAAAGTCTATTAGAGTATCGGATAATATGCATAAATACTCATTTATATAAATATATACCTCTTGGAAAATCATTCCATTTCTTAGCCACTTATGTACATTTGACCCTCAAGGTTATTCTTGATTGTTTTCATATGAAGTTCCCATGTGGCCATTTCTGATCAGCTGACTATATCATGTATACAATTAATTGAAACTTTTTTTCATCCTCAAATGTCAACGACTAGTTTTGTATCTATGAAAATGTGATTAATCACTTGATTTTTTTGATCTAAAGATATCATTGTAATCATTAGTTGGTTAAGTAAAGATGGATATTAGCTAGCATTGAAATTCAGGACGCCCGTTTCTTCTTGTTTGGGACTCATCAGTTGGATCTATCAAGGCAATACGTACAGGATGTACATACACTAACAAGAGACTGATCAATTGCAGCCCTAAACAACAATGGGAAGATACAAGCAAACAACTCCAAGTGTATTTTGATGGTTTTTTTCGTAGCACTTATCACATTGAAAATAGTTATATATCACATATCCTAAGAGTTCACTATTGATAACATACTTACTAACTTACGCCTGCTGCCCCCAATAGAGCATAGGTCGCTGAACAGTATTCTCCAACCCACTCTGTCCTGGGCCTTCCTTTCTTGTTTTATCCAATTGTTGTTCAATCTTCTCATATCTGTCTTTATTTCTCAGCGTAATGAGTTCTTTAATCTTTCTCTTCTCCTTTGATTTTGAAGATTCCAAGTGACATAATTAAGTGCTTTCCTCAATGGGGAACACATTGAGGAATCCACTTAATTAAGTCACAAGACATGCTCTAACTTGAAATCCTCAAAGCCATAGAAGAAGAGAAAGATGAGAAACCTCTTGATCAAAATCACTTAGATTAACTTCATTAATGGAATTATATCAACCAATCAACAAACAAGTTTTTATCAGAATGAGTTTTGTGGAGATTTTAGGAAATTTTAGTGGTTGAATTCATGAGTCAGTAGAAGCTAGACCACCATTGAAAACCTGGAAGCACTGGACGGCCGTTTCGTCCTAGTATGGGACTCCTCAGCAGTGCACATCCACGGCTGTCCAGCGCTTCCAGGTTTTCCATAGTGGTCTAGATTCAATTGACACACGATCTCAACTATTGAAATTACTACAATCTCCACAAAACCCCTTCTGATACTAATCAACATATGCTCACTAGTGACTGGCTTCAAGAGATATATCCTGGAGTTCTAGTGAGAAGCAGTGACCAGTGGAGTTCAGCCGAGTCTGTTGTGAGATATCAGCTCACTGAAGACAATGGTGTTCGGTGGCGCAACTTCGTGGATTGGTTGAAGTTAGACATTAACACGTTGGATGCCGGCTCAGTGGTCTAATGTTTAAGTGCTCGCGCGCGAATCCAGTAGGTCCTGGGTCCGAATCCCGCGGGGGGCGGGTTCGTGGATGCGCACTGCTGAGGAGTTCCGTGCTAGGACGAAACGGCCGTCCAGTGCTCATAGACTTTCAATGGTGGTATAGCTTCAACTGACTCATGATTTCAACCAGTGAAACAAGTTCTTGTTAACGAAAATCTTTTCTTATAAATTACACATTCTTGGAGATAATGCACAAACAACAACAAAAACAACAAAACCCGTTTTATATAAAATTACTTTACAATATCAGATACACATGTATATAGATTCAAGAAAAATTAAATCTTTGTAATACAATCCACACTCACATACCCACACTCACACACTCACACATACATACATACATACATACACAAACACGTACAACTATACTACACAATAGTATCAGTACTTATTTGGCATTGATAAGTCTAAATAGACATAGCACATATACTTTGATTACAAATATAGATTGAATTAAACTAAACGTGAATGATTCTGATGAACTATTATCGACTATATAGATTATGTAACCTTTATATACGCACTTAAGTGTTGTCTTTCTGATCAAGGTCATTTATTTCATTATATATATTAAAACAAAATCAGTAATTTAAGAAAATTTGATACAATTAAGAGATTAGTACATTGAACTAATAAGAATGTAAGTAAATAATCATATTGTAATTGATAAATAGTATTCTATAATGATTTTTAATTAATTTATTGAAATCATGAATTGATCATTGTTATTACTTACTACTTATTTACTTACTTATTTCTGTTACTCTGAATGAAGGATAGTCCACTGACCAGCATTGTCCAATCCAATCTGTCATGGACCTACCTTTCTAGTTCTATCCAATTTTTGTTCATTCTTTTCATGTCTGTCTTCATTTGTCGGCGTAATCTGTCGTTTGGTCTTCCTCTCCTCCATTGGCCTTGAGGATTCCATGTGAGGGCTTGTCTTGTGACTCAGTTGGGTGCTTTTTTAAATGTGTATCCTATCCACTTCCATCACTTCATCCTGATTTCTTCCTCTACTGGAATCTGGTTTGTTCTCTCCCATAGTAGGTTGCTGCTGAGAGTGTCTGGCCAACAGAACCGAAGTATTTTGCGTAGACAATTGTTAATAAACACTTGTATCTTCTGGATGATGGCTTTCATAGTTCTCCAGGTTTCCATCCATTCAGTACAACTGCCTTGATATTTGTATTGGAAATTCTGACCTAGGTGTTGGTTGACAAATGTTTCGAGTTCCAGATGTTCTTCAGTTGTAAATATCTTGCTCTTGCTTTGCCAATCCACGTCTTCACGTCTGCATCAGATCCACCGCCTAGAGCCCCTGAGGATGCTGCCGGTCCCAAACCCGGATAAATGAAGAGGGTCGGGCATGGGGTTAGCCACCTCATCCCGTAGAAAACTAACTCGCTAAAAAAACACTAACCAGAAAAAGTAATTCGACCATTGTTATACTACTGTGAAAAACACAAAAATATCGCATGGCCGTTTCGTTTTGGTATGGAACTTCTCATCAGTGAGCATCCATAATCCAGCATATGGGATTCGAACCTAAGATCCTAGGCTTCACACACGAACGCCTAAATTTTAAACCAATGAACCGATATCCAATAATATTAATGTCTAACTTTAATCAATCTACGATATTACTTGATCACCTGCCATTGTTTTCAGTATGTAATTGCCTTACACCCTACACGATTGAATTCCATTAGTCACGGATTCATTGACAGAGCCATATAAACATTCGCTACTACTGTCATTGTTAAACTATTAAAAGACCTTATATAAAATAGGAAAAATTGATGAATTTCAATATAATGTTACATGTTTAAACTAATAACTTTCTCGTTTAATCTCTAACCAGTAACAAGTATTATAAGACATACTATATATTACAATAACGTTGAAAGTTATTATAGAATATAAGACTCTATACAGTAATTCCATGACTATTAAAGCTTCTCAGTACTGTCCATTTCTATTATTCTTTTGTTTACTATTTTATGATATGTTACACAGACAATATAAAGTTTGTAGTATTGTCTGTATAGTTTCATCTTCACTTCATGTTGAACACTCTCCTGAAAAGTCATCCTATTCTCCCTTTACTTCCAATTCATATATGCTTCTGATAACAAATTTAGTTTCACATATTATGATTTGATTTTAATAAAATCTTATGAGTAAACACTCGACAGTTGCTGGTAGCCTGACGTGGTAGTCCGGCTTGCCTATCGTCTGTTTATCAATTAGGAAAACAGTATACTGTGCAGCAATTCGTTTTGTTCTACTTTACAGCTGCAAAACGTGAACATTAAGAGTAGAAAATACTCGTTACTTACTGGTATTTAATCACAGATACCTTAGACATATCGCTCGCATCTGCTGGCATCACCAGGTAATTAATGGTGAGGTTAGACAAAGAGTATAAGGGAATGATGGTAAGTCAGTTGATGAGGTTGTAAATCTTCATCGACTGAGATAGTTAAGCCACGTGTTACGTATGCCTGAATACCAATTAACACGACGCGCAATGGTGACTAGTGTTGGGGGCGGTTGGAAGAGGCGGCCGAACCGAAATGTGGTATCAGTACACCGCCACTCTTGTCTAATTCTGTAGATAAACTTTCAATGTGCTTATTAATCTAGTTGACTTGATACCATATGCACTATATAAAGGTATTAGATGGTGTTAATTTGTTAACAGGATACAACTTAAACCAAAGTTTTGAGTTAGGTGTTATACTCCAGTATGAAATACCCTTAATCCTAAACAAAGTGATTCTCTAACTGAAAAAAAAATTCTATTCCCTAAACACAGATATTTTCAGGTAGTTTATATAATAAAATGTAATTCTTTAACGTCAAACTCTCTAATTATCGTATCAAGTTAACTTAACATACAAATGTAAAAACGTAATGTAGCGTTTATTGTTATGGTAACTGGGATCTATATATGATATAATAAGATAGAGATATTTTTATTGTATAATTGTTGAGTAACTAACTTAAGCAACTACATATTTATGTTCCTCTTATTATAGGGATCATTTTGACCTATGAACTATTATTATACGATTTACCATTCTTGAGTTATGTCCTGTCTATTAATCACTACCTCCCACATTCACAGCCACATTTGGCTCAATGTTGTACATATGTTGTTTCCTATTTTATGGTACTATGTGGTCTGTTTGGTTTGTATATAAACCCAGTATGTTTGAAATACACGATTCACATAGCAGTGGCTGAGATTGGAGTTCTGGACTCAACAGACAGTCAGGGTTAGACAAGAAGAAGAACCGATAAAGACTCTAGACTGCTCGTACGAGTTTTATGCATCATTGGTCCAGCCGATAAATCACTGTTCTCTAATTGGTGGTATCATTACATCATGTATTGATAGGAGCACAAGGCTATAAGTTATAACAGTTATATAATGCATAAAAAAGTATCTAACATACTGGACTGTCCGACATGTCAGCTCATTCAAATGTCAATAAAGTGGAGTTATTGTAATTTCAATAGTTGAGATGATGAGTCAATTAAAGCTAGACCACCATTGAAAACCTGGAAGCACTGAACAGCCGTTTCGTTCTATTGCGGGACCCCTAGCAGTGCGCATCCACGACCCCACCTCGCGAAATCCAAACCCAGGACCCGTAAGTCTCGCGCCTAACCAACTAGACTACTGAGCCGATATCCAACGCTGTTAATGTCTAACTTCAACTAATCCACAAAATTGAGCAACACATCCACCATTGTCATCAGTGAGTTACTACCTCGCAACTGACCCGGCTGAACTCCACTGGTCACTGCTTCTCACTAGAACTCCAGGATATATCTCTTGAAGCCAGTCACTAGTGAGCATATGTTGATTAGTATCAGAAGGGGTTTTGAGGACATTTTAGTAATTTCAATAGTTGAGATCGTATGTCAATTGAAGCTAGACCACCATGGAAAACCTGGAAGCGCTGGAAAACCGTTTCGTCCTATTGTGGGACTCCTCAGCAGTGCGCTTCCACGAGATATTGTACATTGAAATAACATATTATGCACAAGAGGCATGAAATCTTATTATTACCATTATTAATATCCAGAATTCAGGTAACTATGAGTTAGTTACATAACAATGAAACTGAGTAATAAACAAACAGAACCTTTTTTAGTTGAAAGAAAACAAAACAGTTTTCTTTAGTTGATTATAAATAATAAACATGCATTGATTTCAATAGGTGAGATCCTGAGTCAATTAAAGATAGACCATGGAAAACCTGGAAGCACTGGATGGTTTTTTCATCCTGTTGTAGAACTCCTCAGCAGTGTGCATTCACGATCCCACCCTACGAGATTTAAACCCAGGAACTATCGGTCTTGCACGAGAACACTTAACCACTAGACCACTAAGCCAGCTGGCATCCAATGGTGTTGGTGTCTAACTTTAACTGATCCACAAAATTGAGCGATACATCCACCACGGACATCAATGAGTTAATATCTCACAATAGAACCTGTTTCTCACTAGAACTCCAAGAAATACCTCTTGGAGACCGTCATTAGTGAACATATGATGATTTTAATCAGATAAGGATTTTCTGTGGATATCATAGTAATTTAATAGTTGAATTAATGAATCAATTGAACCTAGTATGAAACGGCTGTCCGATGCATTCAGGTTTTCCACGGTGTAGGATTCAAAATAGCTTGTGACTAAAAGCTATATCAAGGCAATCCTCATAGGATGCATATATGCCAACAGAAAACTGAGCAATTGAAGTCCCAACACAACAATGGGAAGATAAAAGCAAACATTACTAAGTGAATTTAAACTTCACTCCAATTCACAAACAAGTGGCTATTAAGACTCAGTAGCTAAGTGGATAATACGATGGTGTTTGAAGCGGACGATACTGCGTTCGTGTCCCAGAGTGAACATCAATTCTGCAATGCAGGTACATCCAGCTAATGAGTTCCAAATAGATTGAAACGCGTGTCAAACCGGATTTCATTGCTAGCCACTATCCATCTTTACTTAAAAAGCTTGTTACCTAAGACAATATCGAGGCAATTCACACAGTATGCACATATGTCAATAAGAGACTAATCAATTGCAGTCCTAAGCACCAGTGGGAAGATACACATAAACCAACATCAAGTAAATGTACTAGATATTTTAGGATTATGATATTTTTAATAACAATTAACCGGTAGTATGTTTGTTTATGTTAATCTCTACTACAAATTGGATGTAGTTTGCTAGGATGAGATCAATATTGAGATCACGTTTACTTCAGTGTATCATTAAATCAACCATTAATATTACGTAATATTTGTATGTTATTCGATTGATATGACGAATGACGTACTATTGATATGATAGTTATTCAATAGAATATTCATTTTGATCAATTAAGTGTAATTCTATAGTGAACGGGAAGACAAGTGGATGACAATCGAATGTATTTGAATACACAAATTATAGAACATTTTAGTAAAATCTAAGAACCATACAGTAAAGACGTCAATTGCAAAATGTCAATCAGCCGTCAGATGGTGGTTGCAGGTAGTCGACAGATAACCCTGGACCAGGATTTCGTGACACTTAGCACTCGTCAGTAAGGTGTGCCTGTATTCTTGAGGAAACTGGTGTTCCCTGGCAATTTCAATCACAGCTTCACAGTGAGAGACGTTACAACTGAGCTATCCGGGCCGCAACTGACCTCATGTAGGACTGAGATGTAGTCATAATTGATTGATCACTGGGTGGTGATCAATGTCATGTATGTCAAGTACTTATTTAGTGCAGATCAAATGCTATCGACCATTAAATTTACTAAAATAGTAGACAAATATGACAAGTTGGTTGATGAAGCTGTAAATTTTCATTAAATGAAGTAGCTAAGACATATCGTACATTTGGTTAACTATTGTCCACATCGATGGACTAAGTTTACTGGTGTAGAAGTAGGTTAGAAGAACACTTAGGCAATATATATATATAGTTGATATATGTAACTAATAAGTGGTTTTGGCTACATTTGATAAGATACAACAAAAATGGATCACTGAACGGTTATCTGAATCACAATTAGTTAGAACAAAGCTATCAGTATGTAAGAAAAACTAACGACTATACAATATTAACACTTGACTAAACAATACAACAGGATAAACTAGATCAAAACATCTTAAATAATGTAGGACAGTAGTGAACAACAATACTAGCAGGGTACAGTGGAATATATTCGAACACAAAATTACAGAACATCTTAGTCAAATCTAAGACCCATACAGTGAAGACTTCATTTCCAAAATGTTAATCAATCGTCTCACACTTGACTGTTCCTTTTGCAAAATATCAATCAATCATCTCACACTTCATTGTTCTTTCGTCTCAACACCAATCATTCTCTGTTCTCGTCTTCTTTTCTTCGATCTTCTGCTACCAGGTATTTCACTTCTCGATTGATAATACATACTACTTATATCTATCGATAGCAGTAGCAACATACTTACAAAAATGTAGTTAATTAAAATATAATATGAACATACTTTAGAATGATTAGAAAACGGTTCAAATAAAGTTTCAAGACTAAATAAACAAACTTAATGTAGGAAATCGAATTACTTAGGAAGTTTAGTTGTAATATTCAGAGAATACAACTGCTTTAACGATCCGATCTTGTAGGTAGATATAGACTACCTGATTGAATTTGACACGATATTCATTATCAATGATTAAAGATGACATTGTTCAAAATAGTTCCTTTCGTTAGATCCGAAGTTTCTGAATTATTTTTTTATTTTTCATCCATATCTTCTATTTCTTATCTTTCCTAATACTACTACTACTACTACTACTACTACTACTACTACTACTACTACTACTACTACTACTACTACTACTACTAATTCTACTAAAATTGCTACTACTTTTGCTATCCTTTGGTTTGTTTTAACAACTTTATCTTTTTATGCCAACAAGTTGTAACCATTTGAACCAATTCACAGATACTTCTGATTGTATATAGTGTTTAATTGATTGACTAATTATCAGTTTAGGGGTTGTGGAGATTGTCAGGTTTTTGATTGAGATCATGAGTCAATTAAAGCTAGACCATCATGGAAATCCTGGAACCACTGAAAGGCCGTTTCGCCCTATTGTGAGACTCCTCAACAGTGCGTATCCACGATCCCACAGACCGCGAGATTCGAACCCAGGACCTACCAGTCCCGCGCCAGGTGCTTGACCAACTAGACCACTGAGCTGGCATCCATTGGTGTTAATGTCTAACTTCAACCAATCCACGAAATTGCGCGACCATTTTCCACTGTACTGAAGTAGAAATCTATTTCTACCCGACACGGATTAGCTCCACTGGTCACGGTTTCTCATTAGAACTCCGAAAATTTTCTCACGAAGCTAGTCACTAGTGAGCATATGGTAATTATCAGTTTAGGGGTTGTGGAGATTGTTAAGTTTTTGATTGAAATCATGAGTCAATTGAAGCTAGATTACCATGGAAAACTAGGACGAAACGGCCGTCCAGTACTTCCAGATTTTCCATGATTAACTGATTGATTGTTTAACATTTAACTTGAAATTATCCTAGGTGAATTGAATAACTTGAGTTGTTATTTGATGTTAGTCAAAAAGAGTTGAAATTTACTGTTTGTTCTTTATTCTTAATGAAATAAGTAAACGAAGAAATGAACTGTTATGATTAACAAATAATCATTTATTTTAGGATAAGTCATCAAACTGGACCAAGTATTACATTTCCTGATCGTATTAGCGCTGAAAATGATGCAGAACAATTACATAACGCTTGTAAATTACTGTGTAAGTATACATAAAATTAAATATGCTTTCATTATTATATTTGTAAACCACATTTGTTCCCTTCCAATTATGTGTTTATCGTTGATTAAATAACGATAAAGTGTCATTAAGTGACTGTATATCCGTTGGTTTGGATCTATTCTTGTACAACCAATAGTAGTTGGCTGTTTCAGTTCTGTTTATTTAAACACATAAACATTAGTACAAGCAGGTAATAAATAGACATGTGCCACACAAATCACTTGATTTATGAGTGAGAGCTAGGATACTGCTCGGGCGCCCAAACCGAAGCAGGTGGTTTTCTTAGAGGGCCACATTCCGAGCCTTCGACCTAAAAGTGTGATCCACAACGTCAAGAGATACAGTCCCATGGTAGTCGATGAATAACGATTGCCTCATATGCCATTTGCTCCTTCAGGATACTGGAGCCTATGTGCACCATTGGTTTGGAATCAGGGTTCTCCAACTCCCCTAGGTGGAGTCTGCGTGTCCATTAACCCGGTTAAAGCGCCGGACGTTCGCTTTTCATCATCTCAATTCCGTAAACAACAGTAATGACATGAAAAGTCAGTGAGTAGGACTTCCCTGACAGTGGTTGTATGCATTTAGCTGTGTGATTGTATTTCGAGAGGGAGAGTTGACTCTCCCCACCCTCGGCTATACCAGAATATTTGGAAGCTGTTTTTGTTCCAGTATAAAAGATAAGAATAAGTGAATAAACGAACAAAGGCAAAATTGAATATATAAAACAACAGATTGAATTAATTGAGATACTTTTAAATAGTCAAAGTTTTGACACTAACATTAACTCTTATCTCCGATTTCGTAGTTGATAATACCATAAATATCATTACCTATTTCTTAAATGATTCAACAACAAGTATCATGGATCAATAAAAGATGATGTACTGAACAGTGTCAGGTATTATAGTACACTGAATAATGAATAATCTGATATTCTCTAAGCTTTAAATGAGATTTAAATCAGCATTTCATGCTGATGCACATGAAATTATATTGATCAGTTCATTTGCTCCTCCTGTTATTTACTTACTTACTTACGCCTGTTACTCCCAATGGAGCATAGGCCGCCTGGAGTCCTTCCGGGGGCTACTGCCGGTCCCAAGCCCGGATAAAGGAGGAGGGTTGGGCATGGGGTTAGCGTCCCCATCCCGTAGAAAACTAACTCGCTAAAAAACGCTCCTCCTGTTATCCAACATTTATCGGATTCACAAAGTATTGTTTAAGGTGAGTTTTTACAGTGCATCCTTCTTAGATTTTAAGAGTGATAGCCTAAATTCATCAACATATTGATTCACGATTTATATTATATAGCGTTGTGGTATGCACTACTGATATCGATAGATATAAGTAGTATGTATCATCAATCGAGAAGTGAAATGTCTGGTAGCAGAAGGTTAATAAGATAGAAGAAAAGAGAACGAAAACAAAGAATGATTGATGTCAAAACGAAAGAACAATGGAGTCTGAGACGATTGATTGACATTTTGCAAATGGAGTATCTACTGTATGGATCTCAGATTTTACTAAGAGATCCTGTAATTTCTATGTTCAAATACATTCGATTGGCCCCATTTGAATATTTGCGCATTACACAAGATTGATTAATGAAGACTATATTATCATATTTGAAGAACAAATGATATGCTAAAGTCTATCTAATTTGAATTCAAACAATTAATGAAGATTGTACTGAATAATCTCTGAGATGATTTGTAGCTCAAGTGGATGATTGTGATAAAGCTTTGTTCTCTCCTTCATTTCAAATGAGATATCTTGATACCTAAAGATTAAGTAACACTAAAATTGATCTCAACTACTCAAATAGGAATGAATCAATAAATCAGTTATTCACTTATAACACTGACTACTCAACATGTTCAAACTTGTTGTTTTTTGTATACTTAATCTATAAAGCTTCATTATTAATTTACCTATTACCTGAGAATATCATTTAACCAAGATATAGATCATGGTCAGTAAGCAAAAACGATAGTTTTTAATGAAGTTTTGTTCATTGAAATGGATGGTTTGATCGTGGAGCATCAGTACAAACTTTAAGGAGAAGTCGTTCAGAAGAATGATTAAAGCTCCACGATCAAATCATTCAGCTCAAACAACAAAACTCCATTAAAATTATCCACCTGAGCGACAAATCTTCTCCATCATCTCAAAAAAAAGATTGTCAAACTAGCTAATCGATTAACAAATTTATCGTATATCATTCACTACTTATCTATCACAAATAGTAATAACCAAGGCAGTCTGCTTGAATAACTGAGCTACATGTTCCTACCATCTAGATATTTCAACACGTTATCTATTTCCTCTTTTTTGTTTTAATACATCATGATGTCTATTAATGGCATAACCTATTTAGGTGTGTTTATGAAAATTTTAAGACATTTAGTTCTACAAGTTATAAAAAAGTAAAATAAGAAACATCATAGTTGCTGCCTATATGCATCGAAATGAATGTACATTATTTAGATGTCGATTCCTGGACTGCTAACATCTAACTGGCGACCATTGAATATTTGTCATCAGGATCGACCAAGAAATAAGAAGAGGGAAACTTATTGAAATACATTGTGCTGACAATTCTATATTGTACTAAAATACATAATATTGAATAAGGCCACTAATAATATCATAAGGGGTTTTCGAGGATATTATAGTAATTTCAATATCTGAGATCATGAATTAAATGAAACTAGACTGTCATGGAAAACCTGAAAGCACTGGACAGCCGTTTCGTTCTATTGTGGAACTCCTCTGTGGTAGTGCGCATCCACGATCCCACTTCGCAAGATTCGAAGCCAGAACTTATCATTCTTGTGCACGAACGTTTGACCTCTAGACCACTGAGCTGGCCGTCATCCAATGATGTTAATGTCTAACTTCAACACATACTACTACTACTAATAATAATTTACATTATTGCTTGCATTTCATAAAACTATTTACTGGAAAGTTAAACCGCTTTGTTAATAATTATTAAATATATTTACTCATTTATTCTATTCTAGCTACGGATGAAGAAACCATCACTAAAATTCTAGGACATAGAAATCTACAACAACGTTATCAAATAAGAGAAACTTTTCATAGGCGATATAAAAAGGTAAAGTGTTTCACCTTTCATTTCAACTTTTATCATAATATTGAGTAAATAGTTGCTATGGATTGATCTTCTTATTCTATAACATAACAAACATGTTTACACTGTACTAATCTATTGATACTCAGAATCAGAAAACCTTTTTTTTTGTTCTAAATCTTGATGTAAATGAAAATGTCTTACTTAAACCACATAAGCATAAGAGAAAGACAGAAACCGCAACGAGACTGATGAAAACCTTCGGGGTAGGTGTGGCACACAAACCGACAAAATCACTATAATCAATCCTATGCAAACCAAAAGATGAAATAACAAAGGAAAACAAATCAAACATCATCTACAAAATGAATTGTGCCAACTGCGAAAAACACTACATCGGACAAAGCGGACTCCCCCTTCACCTCCACCCACATGAACATCAATTAGCGGTCAAACGACATGATATTTCCTAACCTATATCAATACACGTGGACAACTGCGGACACTCATTCGATTGGAAAGATGTGGAAATCTTGGACAGAGGAAATTCCAAAAACATCAGAGAATTTTTAGAAGCCTGGCACTCAGATCAATCAACAATCAACAAACATATTGAAATCAATTCAATTTATCAACCAATCAGGTAAATCATGCACAAATATGGGAACAAAAATCAAACTAATGGTAGACACAAACAAAACAAAGAAGTAAACAATGACAAATTTAAGGTCAGTAAGAACCAATCAACATCGAGGTGCACAGAACAAGCTGTGAAACACATGTGGAGAAATTCGAACACTTCACTTCTATCTGAAGTTTTTGCTGATGTCGTTCAGAAGAACAATGAAAGCCCCACGACCAAACCATTCAGCTCAGAGAAAAAAAACTTCACCAAAAAGAAAGAAATCACCTTTTTGTTGAAGTTTTGTTCTGTAAGCGAAATGGTTTAGTCATGGAGCTTTCATCATTCTTCTGAACGAAATCATCAGCACAAACTTCAAGTACCTGAGCTACAAATGTTCTCCACCATCTCAGAAATTACTTTTGCTAAGTACTATGTTTCTAATCAGATAACAATATGAAGTTAATTATATGTTCTAGGACTATGTTACCTGAATACATTGTCTTTACGATCATTCAGTTCAAATTCATAAACAATGACAAAGATGTCATCGAAAGTATTTACAGTACATTTACATTCGAGTGTTTCTCTAGGAAATGATAATTTAAAAAATGGTAGAATACAATCAATAAACTTTGTAAGAAAAGATGGAAAGTAACTAGCAATGGAATCCAGGACGCGTATTTCGTCCTTTTCGGGACTCTTCACCCGGATTTACCTGAATCTCGCAGCTGATGTTCACTCTGGGACTCGAACCCAATATCGTTCGCTTCAAATGCCATCACGTTAACCAAAATAGGAAGAAACGTGCGTTAAACTGCATTACACTACTAGCCTTTATCCAACTTTGCTTAAAAAGCTTGTGACTTAAGGCAATATCAAGGCAATACGCACAGTACACACATATGTCATTATGATACAGATCAATTGCAGTCCTAAATAGCAATGGGGAGATTCAAGTAAACAATACCAAGTGAGTTTAAATAAACTCTGTAGTCATCATAATGAGTACGGTATCTTATGAGTTGTCAAAAGAAAGGGTACATTTTCAATAACTAGATAAAACAAACTTACAGCATGAATTATACATTAGAATATAACATAAGTGAATCAAATACAACAATAATGAAAATTTATCAAGTGTTACATCATGAAAATAGGCTTTCCAAAATAAAAACGATTGTCACAAAGGCCTAAACGCATTGATCTTGATCCTCAATGTGTTTCAAGAGGTTACATATACCGAGGGTTCTATCTCAAGACAAACGAGTTTTCTAATGTTCACCAATTTCCAATAACTGTTTGAACAATTTCATTATTATTAATAGTTGAATTCATAAGTCAATTAAAGCTCAACCACCATAGGAAACCTGGATGCACTGAGTGGCGATTTCGTCCTACTATGGGATTCCTCAGCAATGCTCACCCACGATCCTACCGACAGGATTCGAACTCAGGACCTATTGAACTTGCGAGTGAACACTTAATCTCTAGACCACTAAATCAATACTATTAATTAATCAGATTCATGAATTATTTCTTCTTCTCTTGAATTAAAATGTTTCTTTTAAAGGATTTAGTTCATGTATTATGTAATGCAACAAAAGGTGATTATGAAAGTCTTATTAAAACTTTATTTCGTGGAAGTATACAAATATTAGCCCATGATTTATATAAAGGCTTAAAGAAACCAGATATTGTCAATGAGATCATTTGTTGTTGTAATAATAATGAAATTATTATGTTGAAAAAAGCATATCAAGAAGGTAAATGTGAATTCTCATTGATTTTGTTTGTTTATTTTTATAAAGGGGGTTTTGTGGATGTTATAGTTGAGTTTATGCGTCAATTAAAGCTAGATCATCAATGGGGAAAACCTGGAAGCAGTGGACGGTCGTTTTGTCCCGCAGGACGGGATCATGGATGTGCACTGTTAAGGAATCCCATATTAGGACGTAATGGTCATCCAGTACTTCCCGATTTTCCATGATGGTCTAGTTTGTTTATTTATTGAAATGATAATGTAATGAATGAGAACAGAAGTTGGGACAACTAAATACATTTGAATATAAAATTACGGAACATCTTAGTAAAATCTAAGAACCGTACAGTAAGAACTTCATTTGCAAAATGTCAATCAATCATCTCAGACTTCATTCTTCTTTCATCTCCAGACCAATCATTTACTGTTCTTGTTCTCTTTTCTTCGATCTTCTTAACCTTCTGCCTCTAGTCATTTCACTTTCGATTGATGATATATACTACTTATATCTGTCGATATCAATAGCATATCACACAAAATAGTATCAAATGTCCTTAAATATTGAGATTCTGTTTATATATAATTGAGATATGTGTTATCGTAATCTTTACTAATTAGTTTTTGACTTCACCAAATGCACCAGTTATTATTCATTTACAAGAACCTAAAAACATGAAAATCAAAGGATTGAAGAGTATAAGTTTTCTCAATATATAAGACGTATAGAATACAATAGTTTACATTGATAATGATCACTGAAGAACCACTGAACATCAAAAAACTTTTGAATACCCAATCTGCAATTGATTGACCACTGAATCTTGGTTTATGTAATGTTGATCTGATCCTTTAAGTCAGACCGAATTCTGTCAGTCGAGTTATAGTGTGGCTACTAACAAAAATGACTCAAAATAGCGTACAATATCTTTTGATTTCAGGTGTTTTAAAGATCTCAGCTATAAATACTGAACACAGATTTCTCACTACGTGAAACACGTCAGTAAGGTATACCTACTACCACATATTATATCAGTTACCTCATTACTGCTAGTATACTTTACTGATGATTGCTGAATAACTCAACGCCTCATCAAAACTTCTTTATCTAGTTAGCAGGGCCGAAGAAAACGGATTAGATTAGTCTATTGTGTCACTATATCTTTAACCTTCGTTCCGTTTACCAAGTAAGGTGAATTCATAATAGCATATAAGCATATCAGGAGCTCCATTTCAAAATATTCGTGCTTACAACTTAAGAGTATTGAAAATTAACTATGTTAAATATGATCTACAATGTTGTTAGTGATCTTGTCTAGTAACAATTGAATTAATCTAATCACGTATACATACTTGCTATTTGTTTGGCTTTACTTGACTTACATTGTTCTTGTGATATTTGATGAACGTTCAGTAAAATCTAAGAAAACATTGGTTCCTATGTGTATCATATTCATTTGATACAGATTATGTGATTTAAAATGTTACATAATCTTCTGCCAAGTCATCAAAAAGTTGATGGTAATCTATACACTGAACTGTATACTAAGAATTAAGGATTTTATTTACTTATTTATTTATTTCAACACATGAATATTGATAGAAGAGGGCACCAAATGTATATGCGCCACACCATATTTATGTGTGTGTGGGCTGTGATACTGCCCGGGTGCCCAGACCGAAGCAGGTGGTTTACTTAAGGGGCCACACCCCGAGCCTTCGACCTAAAGGTCTGATCCACAAGGCAGTGGAGCACCGTGAGGAGATGCAGTCCCATGCAGCCGGTGACCAAGGAATTGGTTCATACGCCAATTGTTCCCGCAGGATACTGGAGTCCATGTGCACTATTAGTTTGGAATCCGGTTAAAGCGCCGGACATCCGCTTTTCGTCCTCTCATTTTCGTAAACAACACCCCCGCCACGAGAAGGCAGTAAGAAGGACTGCCCTGGCAGAGGCTGTATACGCGTGGCCGTGTGAGGCCATTTCGAGAGGGAGGGCGGGCCCACTCCACTCTCGGCCATATCAAGGCATTTGGGGGCAATTAAGGATACAATTGAAAATAAGGATTTATTCACCTATGGATGTTAAAGGAGATTAAATAGAATAAAGCAATCAAATCAACTTCGATGAAGTATAATTTTATTAACAATATAATGACTAATTAGCTAAAAAATTTATATGAATCCTGGCACAGACATTCCGTTTATTCCCCCCAAATCCCGTGGTACGGCCGAGAGTGGGGAGAGTCAACACACAGACTCTCTCTCGAAATGCTCTCACATGGACACGTGCATACAACCACTACCAGGGACGTCCTACTCACTGCCTTCTCGCAACACGGCTGTTGTTTACGAAAATGAGAGGACAAAAATCGAATGTCCGGCGATTTAACCGAGTTGGTGGACATGGAGAGAACACCTAGGGGAGTTGGAAAACCCTAATTTCAAACCAACGCTTTACATGGGCCCCAGGATCTCGAGGTAAAAATGGTGTATGATCCAATTATTAGTCACTGGCTACTATAAGAGTGTACCTCCTTACTTTGCTTCACTGCCTTGTGAACCAAACATTTAGGTCGAAGATTATGGGTGTGGCTCCCTAAGAAAACCACCTGCTTCGGTTTTGGCACCCGATAGTATCACAGCCCACACACAAATTAAGTGACTTGTATGGCGCATATGTATTCAGTGCCGCTTTTGTACCAATATTTCTATGTTCAAATAAATAAATAAGAAGAATTGATGAAAAAAATGTAACTTTCAAGAAAATATGTTGCTTACCCATTACATAATTCATTGTATTATTAACCATTTAAGAAATCTGTTAGCTAAATAACTCTTTATTCTAAATATGTTTATCTTGATTCTATTTATATAGTGCTTCAGGAAGAAGAGCCAAAAAGTAAGGCTTTTTAATATTTACGTCTAAAATATTTTTCATATTAACGTTATACTATTTATAAGTAGTTAATAGAAAAGCATCAAATTTTCAAGATCTTTTCTGTCAACTGGAATTTCAAGGTGGAGAGACTATAATTTATGAACGAATCAATCAGATATAAGATAACAGGTCTTAGAATTTGGCGCGAGATTCATTCATACATTTGACTGAATAGCGTTTAGGTAGTTTATCTGATGTCAGTTCATGATGAAAACTACAAAAATCTAATTCGTAACCTTAACCATCGACTGTTAATCCCAATTCCAATTTTCCATACTGGTTTAAAGCCTCATTTTGTTCTAGTCAGTAGGTGGACACTCTCAAGGTCATGAAAGGTAGAAAAAATGATTTAAGTAATAAATTATTTTAAAAAAAAATCCATACATTCTGTTGAGAATGCCTTATCGGAATTTTAGACTATTATGAATTCGATAGTTGAGTTCATGAGTGAATTAAATCTAGACCACTATGGAAAACCTGGAAGCACTGGAAGATTGTTTCGTCTCAATATGGAACTCAGCAGCACGCATTTATGAGTTAGAAAGTTAATGAGCCTTTATTTTCGAACAGTTTCACCGATGGATCTGACTGAAAACTAAGGAATAGTGTAGTAAAGTGTGAGACCGTGAATTCAACCCTTAATGTTGGAGGTTGGATTTACAAGTTGTACTTCTCATCCAACAAATTAGGATAAAAATAAGTTAGTTTGACTTAAGTACGAAATGCTCCTATTTTAAAGACAATGACAGTTTAATGGTCAACAATAACTAATCAACATCGAAGTCTACAAGATAAGTTAAGTCATATATGAAGAAATTCAAACACTTCACTTTTACCTTAAGTTCATGCTGATAATGTCATTCAGAAGAACAATAGAAGCTCCACAATCAAGCCATCCAATTCAGAGATCAAAACTCTACGATAATCTTCTTCCATATTGTTTATTAAATTGCTTGTTACGTTTTGGTCTGTTAACACTTGTCAGTCAGCTTCATGTCGATAGATGATTAAAGTTGAAAACAATACACATTCATTTACGGCGAGACTCTAATTTATGGACGAGCCAATCAGTAGCGCTTTAGAGACTTCAAGGTTACGGCGCCAACTTCAGTGCTTTATGCTAACGTACGATCGGTTCAAAGGGAATTTTGTATAAAGCGTGATAATTGAGCGGTTATGTGCATCATGTCGTTATCCACAAGTAGCATTTTGTGCACTCAACAACCGGAGTGCATATAAACAATATTGAAGCTATGTGGTCGAGGCTGAAAGTTTTTGAGACTTTACCTTGGCTCCAGAGGCCGACTATTCTGTAGCCATATGGATGATTTCCTCTACTGCATGCATTACGACATTAGATCCTCTGAACCTCTTTCTAACCTTGACAAGTTTTTGAACCACGTATAAGAAGTGTATCACTTTATTTCCTTGGTTTTTGTATAACACATTTTTACTCAATACTGACTGTTTGCTGATTGGCTAATATTTGTCAAGGTGGTTTAAGCTTCGTTCAAAGGCCGTCCATAAATTAGAGTCTCGCCGAATGATTTAAAATGTATGCCACTTATAAAATATAATACAATTAATGATAAGACCATAATTTATGAACGACCTTTAAGTGACACCAAAGTGACCTTGAACGTGTTTACCTACTTACCAGAGCTAAATGAGGGTTATAAAGCAGTCTGAAGAATAAAGATTATGATTACGGTTAGGGATTAGATTTACGCTTTTTCATCAGCTAAAATGCCAAAACTCTATTTATTCAAATGAATGAGTGAATTCCACGCCAAAATCCGTGACATATTATCTTAAATCTGATTGGTTCGTCCATAAATTGTAATCTCGCCTATATATCAGTCAGTCAGCAACAACGTAGAACTTCGTACGTACATAAATCAGTTCAAGTTGCCATACCACATTAGGACATAGATACAATTGTCGACTTAAATCCCATAGTGGTATATGTAGTAAGAGTACAAGCAGCAATCTGAAACATTAGGGTTTGAAGATAATAGATTTGGAAAGAGATAAAATAAGGAACATGAAGAATTCAGAAGACTAGAATTTGGGAGAACCCAAAGAGTGGATGCACCTGCTCTAAAACGTGCTCCAAAATCAAAGACCCGTTATCTTAAATCTGTTCAGTTCGTTCATAAATCATAGTTTTGCCCAATGAACTAAATATCTAATAAAACATATTGATAATATATTAATTGAATAAATGACTACATTTACTATCTTTATGTAGAAGCTTCACAGCGTACACTCGAAACTGATATAATCAAAGAAACAAAACCACCATATGAACAATTATTAGTAGCATTATTACAAGGAAAACGTGATGAAGATCCATTGGAATTAGTAGAAGAAGCTGTAAGAACTAGAAGTACATCAAGATTAATTAATCGAAGTCAAGTTGATAAAGATGTTGAAGATTTATATTATGCTGGAGAAAAGTAAGTATACTAATAATAACTAATCAATATTTGATTTGATTTCGTTAAAAGAAGATTGACCAAGACATACATATGAAGAATACAAAACTTGATGAGTGTATATGAATAGAAAGGTTAATTAACCATAATCAGTAATAATCTATTCATATTACTATCCGAAACTATTACATAACAGTGTTTACTTGTTAGATGGTGGTTGGAGATAGTCGACAAGAAACTTTGGACCCCGGTTTCGTCCTACTTGGTACTCGTCAGCAGGGTGTACTTGTATTCTTGAGGGGGCTAGTGCTCCCTGACAGGTTTCATCCCATGTCACCCAACTTCACAGTGAGAGACGTTACCACTGAGCTATCTGAGCCGCGATCGACCTCCTGTAGGACTGAGATGTAATCACAATTAATTGATCGCTAGGTGGTGATCAATGTCATGTGTGTCAAGTGCTTATTAGTGCAGATCGAATGCTATCGACAATGGTGCAATGTAACCACCAGTCTAGGTGACTCGACACTGCGTGCACTATGTTGAGACGTTACCATTGAGCTATCCGGGCCACGCGACATGTCAATCAGTCTTCACAGACTTCACTGTTCCTTTCTTTCCACAGCAATCATTCTCGGTTGTGGTTCTTTTTATTTTGGATCTTCTTAACTTTCTGCCATCAGGTATTCCACCTTTGATCGTTGACATATACTACTTATATCAGTCAACATCAGTAGCACACGCCATAATGATACTTCCTTACGCTTGTTACCCCCAATAGAGCATAGGCCACCGACCAGTACACAGTGATACTATATAAAGATTATATTGTTGATCCGCAAACTGATATAATTTCAATATATGAATCATTGACAAGTTTAAAACATTTTATTTAGTGAAAATCTGGAAAGCCTTTAACTTGATCTAGTATTTCATCATAAATGTACACAATTCATGAGTACCTAACTAAGTGAAAATACATTTTTTAAAAACATTTTTCACCTCTCTCTAACTGATTTCTGTGACGACGGACCACGGGTGAACTCGAGGAAGCTGTAGGAAGCTCAGAAGGAACCGAAGATATTCCATCCAATCACCTTTTGGAGGAATATTCTAGAATTCCTACGTGTAGCTTCCCGATTGGACAACGTTAATGACCCCCTGTATGTGGATTGAAGGACTGTAATGATGATTTCGTTCTTACTAGAAACTATAAATGCCTGACAATTTTGTACTATAATTGACACTGTCTGAGAATAATATTCCTTTCATTAATCTTCTGTCTTCTCATTGCGACTTGGAAGGGTTTTGATGTTCTAGTGCTCAGGTTATACCCGTTATATCAAGAACAACCTTCTAGATATAACAATTTCACTTAGTGACAAATATTACTTACTTTCTGTTTAATAATACCATTACAATAGACTTTATTAATTACATCATATAGTATATTGATTATATCAATTCCTGTTATCTTCTTTATTGTGTGTATGCGTGTGTGTGTGTGATATAGACGTGCAGGTAAAGGTGATTCTGAAACATTCATCAAAATTCTAACAAAACGAAGTAAATATCATGTAAAAGAAATATGGGATGTATATTTATCAGTAAGTATGATATACAAAATAAAGATAATATAATTTATAATTACATCTGATATTAATCAACATATGCTCACTAGCGACTGGCTTCACGAGGTATATCCCAAAGTTCTAGTGAGAAGTAGTGAACAGTGGAGTTCAACCAGGTCTGTTGTGAGATAGTAACCCACTGAAGACAATGGTGGATGTGTCGCTCGATTTCGTGGATTAGTTGAAGTTAGACATTAACACCGTTGGATGCCGGCTCAGTGGTCTAGTGGTCAAGTGTTCACGCGCGAAACCAGTAGGTCCTGGGTGCTTCCAGGTTTCCTATGGTGGTCTAGCTTCAAATGACTCATTGTCTCAACCATTGAAATTACTATAATATCCACAAAACCCATCTGATATAATTATATATTATAATTTTTCATTGCCATTACGATCTGACTCCAACTAGATCGTATGAATGATCGCTATTGAAATAGACGTATCATCAATCATCAACTTAACTTGCAATAGTGAATAATGGAATTAAATAAGTCAAATACGAGAATAGATGTTTGAATACGTTTACTTCATTTAATCATTGATTGGAACAAACAATTAGAGAGACGAAGCTCCCAAATGCCCTGGTACGGCCGAGAGTGGGGAGAGTCAGCTCTCTCTCTCTCTCGAAATGCTCTCACATAGCCACTCGTATATAGCCACTGCTAGAGAAGTCTTACTCACTACCCTCTCGTGGTGGAGGAGTTGTTTACGAAATTGAGAAGACGAAGGCTGAACGTCCGGCGATTTACCCGGGTTGGTGGACTCGGAGAGTTCACCTAGGGTGGTTGGAAAACCCTCATTCCAAACCAGTAGTGCACATGGGCTCCAGTATTCTGAAGGAACAAACGGTGTATGAACCAATCGTTGGTCACCGGCTTCCGTGAGAATGCATCTCCTTACGTTGCTCCACTGCCTTGTGGATCAGACCTTCAGGTCGAAGGCTCCGGGTGTGACCCCCTAAGATAACCACCTGCTTCGGTTTGAGCACCCGGGCAGTATCACAGCCCTCACACATATCAAATGAGAACTGTGTGGTGCATATGTATTTGGTGCCTCCTTGTTCCAATATCTATATGTTGAAATAAATAAATAAATAAGTGAAACGAAATGATGCGCAATAGAGAAGGCATATAAGCCAATTCAATTTAATCAAGCGTTAATATTTAGGCTATCTGTTCTTGTCATCTAGATATTTCAACAAGTTATCAGTTTTCTTGTTTGTTTGTTTTAACACATCATTATGCCTATTAGTCTCATAACCTATTTAGCTGAATTTGTGAAATGTTTATGACCTTTTTATTGTACAAGTTATAAAAGAGCGCAATCACAGATATCATGGTTGCTGACAATATACATCGAACAGAATGAACACTATTCAGATATCGATTTCTCAACTGCTAACACTTAACTGGCGATCACTCATTAGGTTATCATTATGATTGATCAATTAAGAACGGAAATTTATTCAAAATACTTCGTGCTGGGAATTTTATATTATACCAAAAGATAGATTATTGAATAAAGCCATGCATAATAAAAACATAAAAAAAGATTCTAGTTATTATATTTCAATACCTTATGAATATATTCCTTTCCAATGTAACTAGATAAAAACTGGTTTGTAATTACGTTGCTTACCTTGAATTCAAAATTTCCCATGGTGCTCCTCTGGAGCTACTGCCGGTCCCTAGCCCGGATAAAAAAGGGTTGGGCATGGTGTTAGCGACCCCATCCCGTGGAAAACTAACTCGCTAAAAATTCCTAACTTTGAATTCAAATTAGACAATACGTTTTTAATAGATCTTATTGTTAGGAAAAGTAATTTTACCACTAATTAGCATAGATTGCAGAATTATTAACCAACAAAGATTACTGGACTGTTATTGTATTCTATCTTTTAGTTTCTCAGTACTGCATATTAAGGGCTCTAGTAGAAATGCAAATGACAACATTCACATTTCTTTACGAAAATTATACTTACTTACTTACTTGCTTCCTTACGCCTGTTATCCCTCATGGAGTAGCATAGGCCGTCCACCAGCACTCTCCATCCAACTCTGTTCTGGACAATCCTATCAATAACTATTTCCAATTTCTGACGCACTGTATTGTTTGGTCTCCCTCTTCTCCGTTTCCCTTCACGATTCCAAGTTAGAGCTTGCTTCATGATGCAGTTTGATGATTTCCTCGATCTATGTCCTATCCACTTCCAATGTCTTTTCCTAATTTCCTCTTCAGCTAGAAGTTGGTTTGTTCTCTCCTACAGTAGGCTGATGCTGGCACTATCCGGCCAAAGGATATTCAGTATCTTAAGTAAACAACTGTTTATAAATACTGATACCTATCTGATGATGACTGTGATAGTTCTCTACGTTTTACTTCCTAGTAACTAATCTGAAACTAACCTAAATAAAACACTGAAAAGTCGCTGAAGGGATCATTTCATAAAAATCATATTTGACATATAACTTAATTAATAGGAACTATTCTATATGTTATAGTTGAATATGTCATTTATATTCTATTTATAGAAATATCATAGTACAATAGTTGAAGTTATATCGAAAAAATTCTCTGAGCCATTTAGATCAGGGTTAAATACAATGAGTAAGTGAAATATTTTCTAAATTTATTTTCCATTTCTATATATGAATGTGTTTTTTTTTCATATTTCAATGTTTCCAACTCCTCTACGTGGACTTTCTGTGTCCACCAACCCGGTTTAGGCCGATGCCGGATATTCGCTTTTCGTCCTCTCAACTTCGTAAACAACACCACCACAAGAGGGCAGCGAGTAGGAGTTACCTGGCAGTAGTTGTATGCATTTGGCCATGTGAGAGTATTTCTAGAGGGACAATTGATTCTCCCCACTCTCGACCGTACCATGGCAACTTCTTATCATAAGATATATAGAATACTGTTTAACAGTAAAATTTATTGCAGATAAAGTAAGTTGAAAGTCTGTTTGTCTGATATCGGACACCAAGTAAGGATTACATGAATTCCTGTATTGCCACATGAACAGTTAATGAACTTTATCGAGATTCATCAAAATCAATTGGTGATGTTATCAAGAGCTAAATCATCTGAAATCGTTATGATACTTTTTATTCATACTAATACACGTATGATATAGGCTAATGTGAAGTGTAATGAACTATAGATTGATAGTATGTAATTCATGATAAATAAATTGTCAATTAATTCACTTGGTATTGTTTTTACTTGAATCTTCCCATTGATTCAATTAAGGCAATATCGAGGCAATACGCATAGTATGCACATATGCCAATAAGAGACTGATCAATTTCAGTCCTAAACATCAATGGGAAGATTCAAGTAAAACAATACCAAGTGAATTAAACTTCACCCCATCGCACAAGCAGGTGGCTATCAGGACTCAGTAGATAAGTGGATAACGCTATAGTGTTTAAAGCAAACGATGCTGGGTTCGAGTCCCAGAGTGAACTTCAACTCTGAGATGTAGGTACATCCAGCTGACGAGTCCCAAATAAGAAGAAACGTGCGTCGTACTGGATTCCACTACTAGCCACTATCCATCTTTGCTTAAATTATCATTTAGTTATGGTGCAGACTCATAGGATAGGATTTGAGCTAGACGTATTTATAGACTCCTGTAACAGACAATAATATACCCTGATGATTCTTATGACATGAATCATTCAAAAACAACAAAGGTCTCTCATGACTGATCAATTAAACTGGCAAAATATTACAGTCATACAAATGAGAGTACTGATTAATTATTCATGGAATCATAACTGAACGTAATTTATAAGAAAAGAAATTAACCATGTAACTGATTATATAATAATAACAACAACTGCCATTTCTATAAAAAATCGTTCAATCGAAATAGTATGACTTATTCAATTAATAGTGAGAATGAAAGCCAGTCAAAACCTGTTAAAAGAAGTAAAAGTATGGTTTATTAGCATAACGACAAAGTAGGTAAAGTAGATCTGTATCTGGCTATTGGATAACAAATTCTTGTATGCTTTCTCTGAATCTCCTATCGCATACACATGAACAAATGCAGATAAAGACAGCCAGTGTAGCAACAGTCCCAGCATCAGTAGGCCTGAACACACACAAAGGGAAAACCAAGGTCCTCAAATACAACACGAAGAACACCAATCTGATCACAGTTGATTACGAAACTCTGGAAGATGTAGAATCCTTCACATACCTGGGAAGCATCATCGATGAACAAGGAGGTTCAGATGCAGACGTAAAGGCGAGGATTGGCAAAGCAAGGGTCGCATTCCTATGATTGTAGAACATATGGAACTCAAAACAACTCCCAACCAATATCAAAGTGAGAATCTTCACTACCAACATCTACTGTACGGAGCTGAAACTTGGAGGACAACTACAACAACCATCATCAAGAAAGTACAAGTATTTATACATAGCTGTCTACGCAAGATACTCAACATCCGTTGGTCGGATACCATCAGCAATAGCCTTCTGTGGGAGAGAACAAACCAACTTCCAGCTGAGGAGGAAATTAGGAAAAGACGATGGAAATGGATAGAACATACACTATGCAAATCGCCAAACTGCATCGCAAGGCAAGCCCCAACTTGGAATCGTGAAGGAGAGCGGAAAAGAGGAGGGCCAAAAAACACATTACGTCGGAAAATAGGAGCAGATATGAAAAAGATGAATAAGAACTGGAAGGAGCTGGAAAGGACTGCCCAGGACAGGGTTGGATGGAGGATGCTGGTGAGCGGCCTATGCTTTTTCACGAGGAGTGACAGGCGTAAATAAGTAAGTTCTCTGAATCATTATTAAGTTGTAGTGAACGAGAACAGAAGTTCAGACAATCAAATGTATATGAATACAATACTACAGAACATCCTTAGTAAAATCTAAGAACTATACAATCAATATTTTATTTGAAAAATGTCTCAAATCCCATTGTTCGTTTATTTCCATACCAATCACTCTCAGTTCTCATTCTCTTCTCTTTGATCTTCTTAACATTCTGCTACCAGGTGTTTCACTTTGGATTAATGATATATACTATTTACATAAGTCAATATCAGTAGTACACATCATAAAGTGATATCCAAAATCAACTGAATATGTATGAAATAATCATTTCAAAACTGTAACTTTTTACAATTCATGAATAGTTGACGACACAAGTAAGGTGCTCAATTCAATTCAAATTAACTATAAAACTTCGATAATATAATAAGAAGACGAAGATTATCAGAACTATGTGATATATTAGCGCAATACATTTCGAACAATCTGGTCACACATATACTTGTTAAGAGCATTTATATATAAAAATAAAAAGGTCAACTAGACTAAAACGGGATAAGAGGAGATAAGGATAATGATAAGAGTAATAATAATGTGAAGACAATTCGAAACCTAATCACTCTGGACAATAAGTCAATATTACCAGGGTAGATTTATGGCAAGAACAAACTGTTTTTGAACACACAAAGGGGGTTTGAATTTTCGTATGGCTGAGGCTTCAATAAACCTTAGTATACACCCTTTTACAACAACACAAAAGCTGAGTTTAGATCAATTTTGTGACCTGTTTCAATTATATGTTTAGCAATAGATGATGGGTGTTTATCCTCTGCTCTTATTGGGTCACTTGATTGTATTTGTTTCTGCAACCATTTTGGTACATACCCTAATTTTGAGATCACCATTGCTCCTCCCTTGTATGTGTGACCACACACACATTTAAATTGGTAAACACAGTGGGATGTGACACAGTCGTTTTCATGTCTTTTAGGTTTTGGATGAACCATGCACCTTGTTCTTTCTTTGATAATGACCTTTGCTGCGCAATACGTTTTGTTGATGACTGATTTAAGTCTTTGTTTCAGTAAAAGGCTATTTGAATCACCTCTGAATGGTAAGGTGATGTAGACAGGCTTTTTTTCCACTAAGGCTAAAGTATATCTCATTGTACCATGGACTTTCCATCTATTTATGAATCTCAGAAGATAGCCATTTTCTATTAATGTTTTATTTAACAACTTTACATCATCATCAATGGCATCATTTGTACAAATACGATGAAGCCTGTTGAAAAGGCACCTTGTATTGCACAGGGCAATAAGCTATAATAACTAAGGTATTGACCTGTTCACGTTGGTTTTCTGAAAAATGGAACGCTTGACTGAGCCATCTTCTCGTCTACTCAAAAGTATATCTAGGAAGGGGAGCTGATCGTTCTTCTCCTCTTCACATGAGAGACTGATATGGTTTTGGAGAGTGTTAAATTCATTCAATAAACAGTATATATCCTCTTTTTTTTCACAAACAACTAAGATATCATTCACATATGTGGACGATATGTACTGCGCTAATGTATCATCACATAATTCTGATCATCTTCGTCTTCTTATTACACGATCGAAATTTATCAAAAGGACGAACTGCTTTAACTATAAAACCTTTTTTTGAAATTTAGTCATTTTGAACACATGAAAATTCAATGCAATTCAATATGATTACTTTTTGGTATATTAAGTCTACAATTATCATTGTTTCTTCTTCTTCTTCTTCTTTAAAACAGTTATGGCATTGATAGATTTACGTTTGTTATTAGTCTGTCAATTATATGATAGTATGTATGGACTTGGAACACGAGAGGATACATTGATACGAATTACCTGTTTACGATGTGAGGTATGTGTATAGTTGATATATGCAACTACTAAATGCTTCCGGTTAAATTTGCTTCACATCTTCACAGTCGCGACGTTACCACGGAGCTATCCGAGCCGCAACTGACCCCCTGTAGGACTGAGATATAGTCACAATTGCTTGATCACTGGGTGGTGATCAATGTCATGTATGTCAAGTACTTATTTAGTGCAGATCAAATGCTATCGACCATTAAATTTACTAAAATAGTAGACAAATATGACAAGTTGGTTGATGAAGCTGTAAATTTTCATTAAATGAAGTAGCTAAGACATATCGTACATTTGGTTAACTATTGTCCACATCGATGGACTAAGTTTACTGGTGTAGAAGTAGGTTAGAAGAACACTTAGGCAATATATATATATAGTTGATATATGTAACTAATAAGTGGTTTTGGTTACATTTGATAAGATACAACAAAAATGGATCACTGAACGGTTATCTGAATCACAACTAGTTAGAACAAAGCTATCAGTATGTAAGAAAAACTAACGACTATACAATATTAACACTTGACTAAACAATACAACAGGATAAACTAGATCAAAACAATTTAAATAATGTAGGACAGTAGTGAACAACAATACTAGCGGGGTACAGTGGAATATATTCGAACACAAAATTACAGAACATCTTAGTCAAATCTAAGACCCATACAGAAAAGACCATTTGCAAAATGTTAATCAATTATTTTAGACATCATTTCCACAGCAATCATTCTCTGTTCTCGTCTTCTTTTCTTCGATTTTCTTAATTATCTGTCGTCAGGCATTCCACTCTTGATTGATCATACATACTACTTACATCTATCAACATCAGTAGCAAACACCACACGACTAGTTAAGTATTAAAATAACTTGATATCTCAATCTTTTAGATTCAATCACTAATTTTTTTGTTTCTATCATTAGATTGATATGAATACATTGAAATCAATGTATCGTGAATATTTTGGTAAACCATTAATTGAAGCTGTACGAGAAGATACATCGGGAGATTTTCGCAAGTTACTCTTGGCATTATTGGGAGAATAACTTTTTTCGAGCGGGGGGGGATGAATATAAAATAATGTTCTGTTATTATTTTCACTAATAAATAACAAACTATCTTCATTTCAACAACAATGAAGCTTTCATTCATTCATTATTATTATTATTGTAATGAATTACTTGTGCCTTTCAGCTTGCTCGTATTTACTTCCAAAACACAGTCTATGTATATCATGAATTTAAAGAGATTAATTGATGTTGTTTGGTTGATTAATGATGTGAATAACTCATTATTGTTATCACTCATGGCATTGTGCTCCTATCAATATATAACGTAATGATACCTTCGATTGGAGAACAGCGATTTATCAACCGGATCAATGATGCATAAAACCCGTACGAGCAGTCTAGAGTCTTTATCAATCCTTCTTCTTGCTTGTTAGAGTTCAGAACACTAATCTCAGCCTCTGTGATATGAATCATGTATTTCAAACATACTGGGTTTATACACAAACCAAACAGACCAAATAATACCATAAAATAGGAAACAACACATGTACAACATTGAGCCAAATTTGGCTGTGAATGTGGGAGGTAGTGATTAATAGACAGGACATAACTCAAGAATAGTAAATCGTATAAAAATAGTCTATGGGTCAAAATAAAGCTTATAATAAGAGGAACATCAAAGTGTACAGTTCAGCTACTTAATAATTATACAATAAAAATGTATGTATCATATTAGTCCATAAATTATTCTGAAAAGTCGCCATTCATAATTCTCGTCGGGATGTAACGATAAACACTACATTACATTAAAGCCAGATCATCATGGGAAACCAGGAAGTACTGGTGAAGTTCAACTGTGTCTGTTGTGAGGCAGTGACTCATTGAAGATAATGGTGGACAGTGGAGCTATTTCATGGATTCGTTGAAGTTAGACATTATCGCCGTTTGATGCCGGCTCAGTGGTCTAAAATTTAAAAGTTCCCGCGTGAGAGCGATAGGTCCTGGGTTCGAACCTCGTGATGCGGGATCGTGGATGCGCACCACAGAGGAGTCCCATACTAGGACGAAACTATCGTTCAGTGCTTTCAGGTTTCCCATGGTGATCTATCTTCAAATGACCCATGAATTCAACTAATAAATTAATTAGAATAAATAAGAATATATTTGTCATATCCTAATGAGTAGAAAAATCAAATATTTTGACATTTCGTAATCCAGTGTAAGCCACTTCATCAGAGTAATAACCAAATCAAAATTAAGTTTTAATAGTACAAATGAATAAAGCAAGGATATTAGGTGCGATCAATTGAAAACAGGTTCAACCAAATCAATGTCATTTCATTACGGTCAAGGTGATTTATAATCGACATATATGTAAGTTTGTGTGTATATGTGCGGGATTAGGGATAAAAAAATATGTGACCTTTGTGGTGAGAAAGGACAGAGTTTAATATGTATGCACAATAAGTGTGAAATGTAAATAGAACCAGATATGGTAGATTGGTTAGATAATCAAAGTCGGATGTATAGTGAGGCCAATAGGATTAAGCATTATGTGGAAAGATTCAACTATTCGCCTTTCTCTGCAGTTGGAAAAACCTTTTTATACTATTTTGATGGTTGTTGAAAATGGTGTGAACTGCTATTGCCGATTTAATTTGAAATCTATCCAGTTCTATGGGACTATCAGGTGATTTCTTTGTGTGCCTAAGATGTTCTTTGGCTCGAGTCAAGATTTCGTGAGATGTCTCTCCAATGTAAAAGGCATCACAATCAACACATCTTAATTTGTAGACAATTCTGAGTTGATATAATGGGGATTTTTTTTTCTCTTAAGCGAACTAAAGTATTTCGAAGGGTGTTTGTTATTTTGTAATACGAAATGTCGAGAAAATTTCATTTTTCTACTCAATTAGATATTACGAATATATGACTTTTAGATATAACAATCTACCCAATGCTCAATTTATTTGAAATTATCAAGTCAAACCTTGGTAATGATGTAGTGAACGAGAACATGAATGGGGACAATTGAATGTAGTTGAGCACGAAATTACAGAACATCTCACTAAAATCTAAGAACCATACCGTGAATAGTTAATTTACAAAATATCAATCCATCATCTCAAACTTGACTGTTCTTTCTGCAGTCCATTGTCTCAGATTCCATTGTTCATACATTTTCATACTAACTGCTTTCTGTTCGTGTTCTTTCTTCCTCGATCTTTTACTGAAGTAAATTTTATGCCTGACCATCGTTACAAACTACTTATGTGGATATAAGTAATCCACATCACAATGATACCTACTTAATTAGAATAAGTTCTATGACAGAATTTTAATGGGAAACACTTAAGATTAAAGAACAAGCTCTATAATAATTGAAACTCATCATTGGCATTCAGAAGAATCGTTGTGATTGCCGTTTTCCTACTGCTAAGATTTTGAAAAGAAGTTTTACAAGAAGCCATATTCCCATGAGATATTAGCTATTAGACGTAGTAGACATTATTCAGGAGTTTATATCAACCTGAAGAGTGAAATATTGAAAGTAATTCTATCCAATAATTGACACAAATATAATTTATATTTAGTTCGATGTATATAATTGATGTCAATTAATTATGAAATATTGTAACTGAGGGCTGATTCGAATCCGATCTGAGTGGACTCAATCGTCCAGGCTTATAAAAAAGGTTTAAAATCCTTTTGTGATAACCACACGGGAAACACTTTTGTGAATATAGTATCTGAAATACTAGCCTCCATAATGATTTGACGCTTATCAATAACAGCGAAGCGGGAGGAATCTGACTGAATCCAGACTTGCATGTGTTCCCTAACAGATCTAATTGTCGCCCTTCTTCACATTATGGAACACAGGCATACCAACCGAAAGACGACTATAGTTGTATTTCTTGACCTTAAGGCAATAATAAACACTATTGATCATCAGAATTTGTGGCAATGCTCGTCATCGGAAGAAGTAAATCTACCTTGTACAAATTCTTTAAACGAACACTGTTATTCGATTCACAGGTTATGATGAACTGTTATCAGACCTATCAACACAAAACGAAGTTGATTTGTGTTGTTAACTACGCTCCTTTTTATTGGATTTTGTCACAGATGTCCTGCTAGAAATAATACTCTTCATCTAATTTTTAGGGGTTGATCACACACAAGGAACTTTACAAACCAATTTGGAGTAGCAGGTAATAGTGCTTTTTGGTAAAGATTCTGTTTGCTTTGAGCAACAATCCAAACATGATTAGGATGTGTTTCTCTTTTTTTTAACCGTACATTGTTGATCTAGGACTGATGTGTACCGACACCTGAACTAATGGGCAGGAGTGAAATAGTTGAGTATTAAGACCCCTTCATATTAGTAGATGCAGACTACCTGGTCGGAGTCCGAGGAAATACCACAAACAGCGGTTAGAGATACTAAATGACAAGGTTCAGAACCGTTCACAATGGTGAAGATGCACTCACCCTTTCCCTTTCCAGTTTGTCTTTTCGAACCATGTTCTCAATGTTCATTTATCTCCATAATCACTCCCACTACATTATTTCGATCAAATTTGTTATTCCTCTTATCAATTGTAACACGGCGTACTAATATGATATGGCAGCTTGGCCCAACACACATCTGTTCAAGGTTCTATTCTGATACTTACTGCACGGCCCCCGAATGCCTTGGTACGGTCGAGAGTGGGGAGAGTCAGCTTTCCCTCTCGAAATGCTCTGACATGACCACGCGTACACATCCATTGACAGGTAAATCTTACTCACTGCCTTCTCGTAGAATTACTGTCGTTTACGAAATTGAGAAGATGAAAACCGAATGTCCGGCAACCGCCTTAACAAAGTTGGTGGACATGGAGAATCTACCCATGGGAGTTGGAAAACCGTGATTTCAAATCGATGGTGCACATGGGCACCAGAATCCTAAGGAAAAAAATGACGTGTGAACCAACCGTTGGTCACCGACTATCATGGGACTGCATCTTCTAACGTTGCTCCACTGTCTAATGGATCGAACCTTAATGTCAAAGGCTCCAGGTGTAGCCCACTAAGAAAACTACTTGCTTCGATTTAAGCACCCGAGCAGTATTCCAGCCTTTACATAAATCGAATGATTTATGTTTATTTATTATTTATTTTAACACATAGATATTGATAAAAGGAGACACCAAACACATATGCGCCACACAAATCTCATTCGATATGTGTGAGGGATGTGATACCACACGGGTGACCAAACCGAAACAGGTGGTTTTCTTAGGGAGTCACTCCCCAAGCCTTCGACCTGAAGGTCTGACCCACGAGGCAGTGGAGCATCGTAAGGAGATGCAGTCCCATGGAAGCCGGTGACCAACGATTGGTTCATACGCCATTTGTTCCTTCAGGATACTGGAGCCCATGTGCACCATTGGTTTGGAATACGATTAAACCGCCGGATATTCGCTTTTCGTCCTCTCAATTCCGTAAACAACACCCCCGCCACGAGAAGGCAGTGAGTAGGACTTCCCTGGCAGAGGCTATATATGCGTGGCCATGTGAGAGCATTTAAAGAGGGAGAGCGGATTCTCTCCACTCTCGACCGTACCAGGGCATTTCGGGGCAATGATTTATATGATGCCTATCTATATAGCGTCTTGTTGTACCAATGTTTATATGTTTAAATAATAATAAATAAATTTACTGAATGAGATCAAATGTAAGAATTCGATTCTATTAGAATAGAAATAAAACAAATATGACATCAACTGATGGTAACATATCAGTATAGAGGTTGTGGAGATGGATGTTAGACCACCGTTGGAAACCCGGAAACACTGGAAGGCCGTTTCGTCCTAGTATGAGACTCCTCAACAGTGCGCATCCACGATCCCGCTCCCCGCGAGATTCGAACCCAGGACCTATCGGTCTCGCGCCAGGTGCTTAACCAACTAGACCACTGAGCTTTCAGGTTTCCAACGGTGGTCTAACATCAATTGATAGTGAGATAATTCACCTAACAACAAAACTTA